ATAAAGTGAGACTCTGTCTCTACAAAAAAAAGAAAAAAAAAATTTCTCAGTACATATCCCTATGATTAAGTGTTACATGACTCTATTTTAATTTTATTTTTATTATTTTTTTTTGTGACAGCCTCACTATGTCACCCTCAATAGGGTGTTGTGGCATCATAGCTCACAGCAACCTCAAACTCTTGGGCTTAAGTGATTCTCTTGCCTCATCCTCCCAAGTAGCTGGGACCACAGGTGCCTGCCACAATACCCAGCTATTTTTTTGTTGCAGTTGTCATTGCTGTTTAGCTGACCCAGGCTGGGTTCGAACCCACCAACCTCAGTATATGTGGCCAGCACCCTACCCACTGAGCAACAGGTGCCACCCACATGACTGTCTTTTCATACCTACATAATTATACCTACAAAGTTCAATAAAAGAAAAAAATTTTTGATAACCTGGGTAGAGAGTGCTGTGGCATCGTTATATCTCAGCACCTTCAAACTATTGGGCTCAAGTGATCCTCTTGCCTCAGCCTCCTTAGTAGTTGTGACTATAGGCCTGCACCACTATACCCTGCTAGTTCTTCTATTTTTAGTAGAGAAGCCTGGTAATCCTGCCTCCTGTACTCAAGAGCAGGTGAATTTTGAAAAGTTAATTATTACTTTAGACTTTCCAAATTACCTCCCTCTTACTCAGGCTAAGCTAGAACTCCTGAGCTCAGGCAATCCACCGGCCCCAGCCTCCCAGAGTGCTAGGATTACAGGTGTGAACCACTGTGAGCAGCCAATGAAAGAAAATATTTATTGTCTGAGTTTCCTTTCTGACCCTTATTATTCATTTCATTTCATAATTATTACTAAAACTAATTTCTTCATAGAGAGTTTTTAAAAAATGATCCATATGGAGTCGTATGTGCTAATACGTGCCACTGATTGCTTATCAACACTCAAAAACTGAGATGTCCAATTTGAAAAATCCTAATTTGTTGATGGGGGGGGGTTGGAAATCAGAAGATCTAGCAATAGTGTTGGAGGTTCATAAAGGCAATAATCATATAATCATGGGGGGGCACTTATCCTATTAGACTATGCCTGAACCTCTTATTTACATTGATTATGCCAACTGGCTTAGACTGAGCGTTTGGATTACCCTGAAGTGAGTATCCAGGCTGCTTGTTGATAATAAACTAGTCTGTGGGCTCAGCACCTATAGCTCAACTGGCTAAGGCGCCAGCCACGTACACCTAAGGTGGCGGGTTCGAATCCCCAGCCCGGACCCACCAAAACAACATGACGGCTGCAACCAAAAAATAGCCGGG